ATTTGAATGTTTTAATAAATAAAACTAACAGTACTCGTAGAATTATTATCATTACAGTGTATCTTACATATATAATTACAGTGGTTTTTTTTACAAGATAATATTTTCAAAATGGATCTCTATTAATATTTCATTATTTAAAACAGTCCATTCGATGAAATCATATCATCGATTACTTTGCACATTATACGATCACTTGGGCTACATGGATCTGTTGTTTGCTGTTCAGATCCCAGGTTATCAATCGATTCCATAGCATCTGTATTTATGGCTAACTTAGAATCTAATTCTGAAGTATCCGGTAACATTTGTAACGCATGCTGCAGAATTTCTTGTACCTAGAGGAAAATTCAATAGTACAGTTATACAATCACAAACAGGTGAAACTTTACCAACAAACAATTACAAATATCTCACCTTTTCTAAATGCTTTTGAAACCTAAGAGCAGTTTCGATACGTTGTCTGCGCTGCAGTTCCATCATAACTCGTAACGTTTCTCTAGCTTGGTGCGGTCTGAATTCATTCAGCAAATGGTGTATATGAATAAACAATAGACTAAGATCTTCCACCTGTAAATAACAGAAAAGGGAATTCAATGTTTCTTTCGGAGACGCGTACCACAGCAAGTACTCACTTTTTCAGCGCGTCTTGGACTGTCTGGACATTGTACGAGTAGATCTATCAGATCCAGGAAGTTGACGAGCAAAGAATGGTTAAGTTTCTTTAATTCTCGTCGACGATCAAAATGTTGTGGGTACAGCCTCTTGATTCCTTGAGCCTCGAGGGGCCGTATAATCGTATCGTCCGCGTTAAATACATTTCCAAACATTGAATAAGTGTCGTGTATCGGCGGTGGAGGCCGAGGTGCTCTCCCTCGACGGACATTCTCGTCCGTATACAAATTGATGTACTGCACCGGCGGCAAAGGTAACGAGCTGACTTGTATTGCCTCGGGAGCAGCCATGTCCGTTATTCTGGAACTCTGTTTACAGACAAACGCGAGACGCAACGTCACTGAACGCGATGCACTCCAGCTCGAAGCATGGGGTAGGTTACGTCCGACTGATGAAAATACTGTTGTCAAACTGACCAGGGCGCCGAACTATACTGCGCAGGTGCGTAATTTCGCGCCTAGCCGTCACTTTTTTTTTCATTAGAATTTATACTCTATTCAACGAACAACAATTACCGAACATCGAAAAACCAATTGTATCGTTTAATCCGAGAACTCGCGTCAACGCGTTACGATCGTCGATTCACGGAGTTTCAACTTTCCCCCGAAATAAGATGCTAGGTTATATCGATTCGATTCTCACAGCGTTCACAACATATTCGTACGTTCGCGTTTATCTCCGCGAGAACCGATATTACTAAGAACGTTCTCCCTCGCGCGGCGCGATACTTTCTCACTGTGCATTTAAAAGGTGTAAACGACGTCCGTGCAAGAGCAAAACAACATGCGAGGCAGCCTTCGGGACCGCCATCTTGTTTTTTTAAAATGAGTCAACAGGTATTCTCTGTTGGCCAAGTTAATACGTTAACGCTGCCAGGACGTCGAACCCCAACCGGGAATTTTCGTGGTTCGTCGAATAAATCGAACCCGCCGAGGCTCGGGTGCCGGTTAATTTTGCGTTTCGAGTGATAGAAGGCCGCGCGGCATTTCGGATAAATGCTCTACTAACGTAGTGAGGTATTTCCTGCTATCTCGTGAGTTTCCAACGTCTTCGTTTGACAGATTGTCGGTGTGTGTATGCGTTCCGTTCCACGTGAATTCTTTGTTTGGGCACCGGTCATGTTTCTGACAAGCGTTAAAACTGTGGTGTGGTAGCGGCGACCTGGTACATGGTGAGTTCATTTACTCCACGGGATTTTCTCTGTGATTCCGTTATCCTCGTTAAACATCCTTGCCCGTATAGAATCGCGGCGATACGAGTGTCAGGATAACCACAAACTAGCCGCGTAATCGGCGGTCTCGTCGTTCTATTAGTTTTTCGCGATCGCCGATTAATTATCCTCTAACGCTTTCCTTCGGCCCCACGCGACTGTAATAACAAAGGAACGTCCACGCCGTATCGAATTTCACAGAAAACCCCCGGACAACGAGACGAATAATGGGCAGAATTCGATTGTTATGCGATCGTAGTGTGGGTTTGTTGTTTTGTGCCTGTTTCACGTATAGACACGCAACGAAAGACAACTTCGTTGGAACTTGCGAAATAGTTTCAATTAACTAATCAAGCTACGTGTATTTCTTTTATGGATTCCATAAGAAGGATTTTAATTTATAGGTTTCTTCTGTTTTTTCAAATTTATTGCAGGAGAACAATTGCATGGTAACTGTGCACAATGCTGATTTCCAGGAGGAAAGTGAATGAGATTTTTTATGTTGTCATAGATTCTTGTTGTTATGGTGTTCTGTTGATCAGAATGTGGAAATGTTTCTTCTAGCAATATGTGTATTTGTCTATGGAGATTGATGCATTTAATGTTTTGTTGCAACATGTATGGTTTTTATAAGTGAAACATTTATGTAATTTGGTTGTTTATGTTTCTAGGGGTAATTTTGTATGGTATGCCGTATGTGGTTTATTTTATCAGCATATCTTCACTGGTCAAACTTGAATATTTTAGTGTAATTATGTGTAAAGTCATATGCAATATATTTCTGACCTCTGAAGGCAAGTTCAAGTATCTTTGGACATTTCGTTCTTTCAATATATACAAATTAATGTACGTATACATAAGAACATGGAAGTACGCTCTATAGTCTCATGGATTTCCCCTTGTATGATTTTTTCAGCTCATGGAATTTATTATGAAACACACAAGTCTATAGTTACTCTATAAATATTGTTTATATTCTCAATTACCATTGTTCTTCCAATACACAATCAGATTATATCGGTTTTGCTTGATTCTAACTGCAAATTCAGTTTCCGACAGAGGTTGTATAGTCAAGCATATTCACAGATATGTCTCATCACAATTAGTAATGTTGCATGCAGCAGAAACAATTGAATAAAACATGTTACAAGTGGCTGTAAACCTTGATGATGTGTCCGAACCAATTATTTTTATCTGTGATCTTATTAGCCCTATATCATTAGGGTGGCCTCTTCTGCATGTTCACATCTGAATACTATTACACCATCTGCATTATATGTTAATTAGTATAACAAGCTCACTTAAAAATGTTACTTAATTCAAATCTCTATGCAATTATAAACTACTAATATCATATTTCATGGTAACGTTGAAGTATAGCAGTTGTTACAAAACAGTCTACAAATATATTGCTAAAAATTCCTCCGACCCTGTTGTAAAAAAGATAGCACAACATATTCCTTCAGCATTGACAAAATTTTGTTGTTAAACCTATTTGTTGATCAACCAGTTTCACCTGAACTCAGTTATGACTTATTAGGGTGCATCTATTTTCAATTCATCTTTCCTCTTAAATCCAATATTTAAAAAAAGTAATCAGTAATTACCAATGATTACTGATATACTTATTAATTAGTAACAAACAGATTCTCGAAAATTTCGAGCCACAGGTCTCCAGTATTCCAGCATCTCTCATTTGTCATTAAAAAACTGGAAGCTCGATTATCTTGCTTAATTAATTACTTACAAATATGCTCATAATTACATTGATTCACAGATCCTCAAGGTCCTCTATCATTCCATAAAACATTCTTCCACGATAAAAATCCCATTCACTAATTTCCCTTTATCAACATCTCAATGAACCATGAAAGTACAACAATCCACAAAATTGCAGTAAAATCAGACTCTTCAAATTCCCGAAAATAACAGTCAAACTTCACGAAATAAAATCTAATGTTCAACCCTAAACGAACCCTTAACCCCTTGACCTAGAACATCCTGTTAGACTCGTAAGGAAAATTATAAACTGAGTTCAGAAAATTTAAATGTTATTTATTGCTTTTAACCCTTTGCACTCGGTAGTTTATCACTAGAAATGTTTAACATTTTTTGACGATATTCCTTGAAACCAACTCGAAGGAAAATCACGAGTACATTGAGGAACAAAGCTATTTTATTCGAATATTTCACGTATCAAGGCGTTATAAAGTTCAATATTAAATATCAGATTTTATCAATTTTTGTGTGAAATCAAGTGGTGACTGAGAATCACCTTCTAAGTGCAAAGGGTTAAACATAAATTAAATATTATTCTATTATCAATCGTTCTTTGAAGGTGTATTGATCACAGTTAAATAAATCATAGGTCAAGGGGTTAACACGTTCACCAGCGTCACAGATTTTACAATGAAAATGAAACGAATACAGATATTATTATTAGAAGTAAACAACATTCTATTATTCATTAGTTTCATTTTCCTAATACTCTGTCTAGATTCATTGGATCGAAGAAAATATAATTGAGAGCGCTGGTAGCAACGCGAAAATCGAAGTACAGTTCATTCAATTAAACAGCGATTAATTGAAAACATTTGCGCAAACAATGCTGAGCGAATGACGCGATTCAATCGAATGATTCAATATCCTATTGTTCATTTTCTGTATTTTCCTACGTG